ATTCCGGCAGCTCTGCGACAGAGCACAGAGCCACATTCTGAAGGCGAAATGGCAGCAAAAGTACTACGCAGACACAAAGCGTCGAGCAGTGGAGTATGCAGTGGGAGACAAGTTCTGGCTCAGTAGCAAGCACTTACCGCCTTTTAACTGCTGCCCTAAGTTCGAGACACGCTACGGCGGACCGTTCGAAGTCATCGAACGCATAGGAACTGTCGCTGACCGTCTCGCTCTGCCTCCCACCTATGAATGCCATAACGTTTTCCACGTTTCGCAGCTAGTTCCCCACCGCCCCCGCCCTCCCGCTTTGGCTCCCTCGGCAGCCGACGCCGCCTGGCCTCCTATCCACGATGCAGCAGGCAATCCCACAGCGGAATACGAAGTCGACTATATTATGGACAAACGCGGCTTTGGAGATGCAGCCCAGTACCTTGTGAAGTGGCGCGGGGCCCATGAAGATCACGCCACATGGGAGCCAGCTCATCACCTTACTGGCTGTCCAGCTTTGCTTCGCGCTTGGTGCCGCCGCCAACGAAGACGTCTTCAAATTCGAAACAACTTGGGTCCTTCCGAAGCGTAGACGTACGGCTCCGCCACGCTCCAGCTCCTACAGCATGAGCACCCCTTCAATGAGGACAGGAGAGGGAGCGCTGCGCAACGCGCGCGCTCACCACGTCAGCTTTAGAAGAGCACAGAGATTGCAAAAGCAAAAATAATGCGTTTGGGACAGGTCTCTTCAGTCCGGCAAGGGGGGAAGTTGTAGTGCTGAGGCACTACAATGGGGCTGGCTAGTGTCCTAGAGATGATAGCTAGCCAGCGACCTGCAAAGGGCCGCGACACTGGAGGGGGACAGAACCCTCCCTATACATGAAAAAATAAGAAAAACCGTTAGTCAGTCCTAATGAAAACGTGAAATGTGCGGATATCGTGTGGAGACTGTTGTAGTGCTGAGGCACTACAATGGGGCTGGCTAGTGTCCTAGAGATGATAGCTAGCCAGCGACCTGCAAAGGGCCGCGACACTGGAGGGGGACAGAACCCTCCCTATACATGAAAAAATAAGAAAAACCGTTAGTTAGTCCTAATGAAAACGTGAAATGTGCGGATATCGTGTGGAGACTGGGGCTGGCGATAGCGCCGGCACCAATGCGGACCTCCACCCCTAGGGTCTAGGGGGTAAGCTCCGAGAAGGGAGCGAATCGAAGAAAGAGATTAGAGACACTTTTTGAATTGTCGTATTTCGACGGAACCGTGAAATGGGGCTATACTAGGTGTAGTATGTAGACCTGTAGAGGGGCAGGAAACAGCGTAGTCGCAGCAGTAGGCGCAGCGCACTACACAGTGTGGGCAAGACCCACGTGTGTAAGAGGCGCAGGCACCGGCAGCCGGCGCCCGCCTACAGGTTGAAATGAGTATTTAAAACACATAAAAATCATATTTAGAAGCGAAAAAAAATCAATTAAAACTAAGCAGTTACCAGCTAGAGGCCTCTAAGTGAGGCTGGGGCCTTCCCTGAAGCCTTCCCTGTTATCTACATGAGGCTGCACCACGCAAAAGCTGCAGCTTGATAAGCCGTAAGCTGCTGCAGCAAATTATTACTTTACATTTGCTGCAGCTTTTAGTTTTACATTTTATTGAAGCTGGCTTTTAAAAGGATTGCAAGGCGGGCATTGCATGCAAAAGAATCCCTTGAAGAAGAGAAGCAAAAGTGCAAAAGAAAGACAGACACACATAGAGCAAGGAATAAATAGAGGCAAAGACATAGTTAAAGAGAGGCTGCAGCAAAAGGCCACGGCTAGAAAGACAACCAGAGGGGGAAACGAGGGAGTCTCTCTTGTTGCGGCAGCAGCTGTGCTGCTGCTGCTGCTGCATTCTGCTTGACGACGCAGCAGCAGCATTCATTGTACCTTTCTGCTACGGTTGCAGCTGCATCTTCCCCCTCCCCTCTGCTGCAGCAGCAGACGCCCACGTCTCTGCTGCAGCAGCAGACGCCCACGTCCCAGTCTTTCCACAGGGCCCGCTGCAGCATAGCAGAACAGCCCCAGCCACCATCTTTTGCTGCTGCTGCTGCTGCTGCTGCATCTCCTGGCATTTCCACTAAAGATTTCCTGAGCTTCTTTCCGTCCGGTTGCCGTCTGCTTCCCTGGGTCTAAATGGCAGTCTGCAGGTGCTGCTGCTGCTGCTACTTCTGCTGCTGCTGCTGCTGCTACCTTCTTGCCATTTAAAGAAGTTGCTGCACTTCCCCTCAAGCATCTCTTGCATGCGCCTACTATATATGGGGGGCAATTCGCTGCTGGGGCTGCCAGAGGCTCTGAGGCTCCAGGGGGAAGTTTACAATTCTAAAAAGATAAATTATAGCATTTGAGGCCTTTCAAAGTTTATTTAAAAGCTAAGAGGCCAATGAAGTGCAGCAAAACAGCCCACAGGCTGCACAGGTTTGCTGCTGACAGCATCAAGGTGCTGCATGCACGGGGCTTTTTGCTGCCGCAGCAGTGCCATTGCTGCTGCAGCGCAGCAGCAGCACTGCTGCCAGCTTGCTTTACCTCCAAGCTTTTGAGTATTCTTTTCGGGCGAATACACCAGCAGCAGCAGCGCTGCAGCAAATGTTTATGCTCTTTGTGGGCCTCAGCAAAAGGACCCGCAGCTGCATGCATGCGCTTTAGGGGCCCCATCTGGCCAAAGCCCCTGCTGCCAAGGAACCCCAAGGCAGCAGAACTCTTTTAAGAGGTCCCAATAAGCCTCTCAGAAGATCTTTTTCCTTTTCTTTTGAGGGTCCCCCCAAAGGCTTGTTGGGGCCCTGGTTGCCTCTTTTAGGGCCCCTTGGGGCCCCCTTCTGGGCCTCCTCGGGGCCCCTCTCAGGGCCACTCAAGAAACAGTGTTTCAGGCATCTTGGAAGCGCCCCGAGAGCCCCCAAGAAGGCCCCAGGGGAGCCCCAGGGGGGCCCCAGAGGGGCCTCCAGGGGGCCCCCAGGGGGCCCCCAGGGGAGCCCCAAGGGAGGCATGAGGGGCAGGAGAGTGTGCAGCAAGGTGGCGAGGGCGGTGCCCCGCTAGGTGTTTGCTTCTTCTGGGTCTAAGTCTGTGTAGACTGCGGAGTAGCCTTTTTGATTTGCTGCTTTGTCTTCTTCTTTTTGGACCTTTTTGGCGAGCATTTCGGCTTCCTGCTGCAGCTTGAGGGCCTTCATTTCAGCAGCAGAAGACACGCGAGTGTAGCGCTCCAAAAAGCTGCTGTTTAACTCCAAAAAGTGGGGGCCCCAAGTGAAACTCTGCAGCAGCAAATTTGCATGCCGCCGGTACCCTGCGGCGCACTCCGCAGCGTGTGGGGCCGAGCCTGGGGTGTACGTACACCCGAATCTGCACACCAGCTGCGGTGTATGTACAGCTGCCTACCAGCTGGGTGTACGTACACCTCAATTGGCCCACCAGCTGGGCTGTACGTACACCGGAATGTGTCTAGTAGCTGGGGTGTATATACACCGGAATCTGCCTACCAGCTGGGCTGTACGTACACCGGACTCTTATCTGCAGGCTGGGGTGTACGTACACCGGAGTGTGTCTACAAGCTGGGGTGTACGTACACCGGAGTCTGCTTGCGGGCTGGGGTGTACGTAACCCCAGCTCGCAAGCAACCTCCGCCGGAGAGACACGGGAAAAGCGCAGCAGCAAACGCAGCCCGTCCACACATGCTGCCAGCGAACTCCAAACCCTAAACCCTAAACCCTAACCCTAACCTCTGGAGGCAGCGCGACACACCCAAACGCTGGCAGAGGGAACACGGAAAGCCCACCCCAAACCCTAAACCCTAAACCCTGAACAAATGAAGCAGCTGGCGCCACAAAAGAAGCCAACAAACAGCAGCAACTCAAATTAAAAAATTAACAAACCTGCAATGTAATGAGCCCCCGGGAGGGCCTCCGCGCAGGTCAAGATGTTGGGAGCCCCGTAGTAGGTCGGATTGCCGCAGAGCAGCAGCGGCAGCACTCGCACGTTCTCTGAGAACCACAAACCCCTAAACCCTAAACCGTAAACCCTAAACCCTAAACCCTAAACCCTCACTTTTCACGAAATCAATGTGCTGCCCCCGCCTGCCTTCTAGCACTCTGTTCCAGCTGCAGTCCACCACTGCCAGCCCAACCCTCACCCTAAACCCTAAACCCTAAACCCTAAACCCTATACCCTCACTTCTCACGAAATCAATGTGCTGCGCCCGCCTGCCTTCTAGCACTCTGTTCCAGCTGCAGTCCACCACTGCCAGCCCAACCCTCACCCTAAACCCTAAACCCTAAACCCTAAACCCTAAACCCTAAACCCTAAACCCTCACTTTTCACGAAATCAATGTGCTGCGCCCGCCTGCCTTCTAGCAATCTGTTCCAGCTGCAGTCCACCACTGCCAGCCCAACCCTCACCCTAAACCCTAAACCCTAAACCCTAAACCCTAAACCCTATAC